AGAGGTTTAATTCCAGCAACCTCAAAAGTCTGCGGAACATAACCTGTTAATAGAGAGAGGTTAATCAGATCTAATATGGAAGTGGTGATTAGGGGTAAAACGTCTTTGAGCAGCCTGGTCGGGATGGGGTCCAGGAGACATGTTGTTGATTTAGATGAAGCAATTGTTGAAGTCAACTCAGAGAGATCAATCGGAGAGAAGCGGCCTAAGTATAAATGAGGTCTTACAGATGATTCTACAGTCACTCTACTTGATGACACATCTGTGAGCTGTGGGAATGATTTAATTTTTTCTCTAATAGTTGTGATTTTATTTGTATAGAAGTCCATGAAGTCATTGCTGCTGAGATCTAAGGGAATATTAAGCTGCTAAAAAGAAACCTGGGGTTATTCTTATTTTCCACTATCACTGATGAATAATATGCAGTTCTGGCACTACGAAACGCTTTTTTATATGTTATTAAACTATCTTTCCAGACTAAGAAACTCTTCTGGGTTAGAGGAGTGCCAGCTCCTTTCCAGTTTTCATGATGGCTGCTTTAGGGAGCGGAGCTGTGAGCTGTACCATGAGGCTAGCCTCCTCTGTTTCACTGCCTGCTTTTTCAGAGGGACAGCAGTATCAAGTGTACACAGGGAGGCTTCAGCACTATCAACAAGATTATTGGTTTCTGGCTCATTATAGACCAATATCCAATCTCCCGTTTATTTCTAAAATCCTCAAAAAAGCTGTTGCAAAGGCATTATGTGCACACTTGCACAAGAATGATTTGTTTGAGGATTTTCAGTCTGGTTTTAAGACCATCATAGTACAGAAACTGCACTGGTCAAAGTCACCAATGATCTTCTCCTAGCCTCACACAAAGGACTTGTCTCCATACTTCTCCTCTTAGATCTCAGTGCTGCTTTTGACACCATCGAACACAGCATCTTACTACAGAGACTTGAACATGTTAGTGGGATTAAAGTAACAGCGCTAAGTTGGTTCAAATCTTATTTATCAGAAAGATTTCAATTTGTTCATGTTAATGATGAATCTTCCACACAAACTGAAGTTAGTCACGGTGTTCCACAGGGCTCTGTGTTAGGTCCAATTCTCTTCACTTTATACATGCTCCCTTCATCACATATTTGCTATGCAGATGATTTTCTTCTTCTTTTGGCTGTTCCCCTTAGGGGTCGCCACAGCGAATCATCTGTTTCCACCTAACTCTATCCTCGGCATCCTCTACTCTCACCC